CAAAATTCCTACAAAAGGATTTTTTTCGTTTTTTGGTAGGGTTAGGAGTGCTGATTAACATACCAAAAGTTTACCAAAGTTTGACAACTGGAAAGGCCTCAATTTCAAGATGGCGTCCAAGATGGTGTCAAATATCAAACTTCTACAAATTTCATCCCAAAGAAGTAGTTAGAGTCTACTAATTCGTTTACAGGGTCCCTAAACTTAAATTAAACATATACATTATACATACATTTCAATTTAAAAACAAAATGTCACAATATGTTATCATGTTTAAATAGTTATAGTATTATGTTTATCTCAAACAGCCTAATAAAAACTAGGCTCTGATTTATTTTTCATTTTTTGTCTTAGTCTAAATTGTTCTAAAAAACGTTCACCTAATTTTAGACAAATACATTAAGTAAACATCCCTAATGAGACATTTTTATAAAAAAACCTCACAAAATAAAACGTAACTTATATAATTTAATTAACGTAAAACGAAAATGGCTATGTTCAAATTATATTCATCGTAAACAGTGATGTTAACATTTTTATAGGTTCGTTTTTTCTTCAGAACGCCTACTTTTTTAGGGCACCAGACCTTATTACATATAATAATATATATATACATATATTATTACATATATTATTACATATATGACATATATTATTACATATATTACATATAAAATAAATTAAAAGAGGGTAAATGTAATAATAAGTAGGTTTACTTCATAGCAGAAGTCTACAGAAATAAAGAAATTTCATAATTTTACTGAATTCAGCGAGAAAATAGTACAGTTTTTTTTAGGTAAGTATTTTGTAAATGAATTTCACATTTACAGTTGGCTAACCTGTTTATTGTTTACTCATGTTTATTATGTAATGAGTTCTTATATCGTAAACAAAACTAAATGTTCTTAGAAGATTTATATTGTTCTACAGAGACTATACAAGTTCGTCAAAAGGGAGTTGTAGGAATAAACAAAGCAGGTTTGGAAAGAGGAGAAGAATTAATTGTGTGCTGTGTACCCAGGAGATAAAGTTCACGCGAAATGCAGACAGCGGTATATTAATAAGATACATACAAATTTAAGCTGGGAATAAATTAGAAACGTTAAAGAGAAGCACTAGGTTATCTAGGTCCCTTCAACAGCCAAATAGACTGTCTCTTCTGCGGTACTGCAGTTACAGAAAGAAGTTCTAGTGCTAGCTGTGTCAAGACAGAAGAATTTGTAAAAACAATAATTGCCTGCTGTAGTAGTCGATTGGACGAATGGGCGGGTATTGTGAGAGGAATAATATAATATTATGGACATGATCTGATCGCCGCTAATTGTGTTTACCACCACTCCAGTAGCAGTAACTTTTGTTCTGGCTTTCGTACCACTGCAGTTTCAAAATGCACAAACTGTGAAAAAAAGCCCAGACGACCCAGAAATGAAGATCAAGAACAAGTATTCCTGAAAGTATGTAGATATTTAGAAACCAATGATGATGAAAAACTAACAATATCTCACGTACAAGAAAAAAATTGAGGAATTTCTTGAAAGAGAAGATTCACAACCATTTGGAAGAAGTTATTTGAAAGAACAGCTAAAACAGAAGTATGAAAATAACCTTCATTTGTTTAGGGATAAGGTCTTCTAGATATTGTCACAATAAGGGAAAAACATAAAATATTCTTAGATCCTATTTCAGCACACTTGAAAAGGACGAGGAATCCCAGAAAAAGGCTATCATCGAAACAGCAGCCCGTCTTATTAGGATTGATATAATGGCCTCCACTCTGTCCGTTACAGACCAGTATCCAAGTGATTCCTGAATCTGGATTCCGCCCTTTCTTTCATACCGGAATGCTTGCAGACTTTGTTAAATGGTGTTTTTGTAGGCGAAAATACGGATCGTAAGGTGGCAGGAATTGGTCAAGCCATCATCCAAGCAGCCCGACCACGCGCTGTTGTTGCTCCTTTACAAATCGACCTTGCAGTTCAGGTACACCATCTCTATCGATCTCAATTTCTTGTCGATACTTTACATGCCATGGGATTTAGTTCTTCATACAAAGAAGTTCTGCGTTTTGAAAGGAATGCGGCTGATTCGGTTACTCCAGATTTGTACAAACCATAAAGTCTATGACATTAATGAGATAAAAAAAAATACTGGGTAAGAACTTGAGTTCGCAATTACTATTTGTGCATTCACCGGATGTGATTCAACACGCACATATTTAGTGTAGGAAAGAAGTCAGCATTCCAGAGGCTTATTAGCAGAAATGCAACGATTGAAGATTGTGCAAATTTGTTTCTAACTCCGAAAAACCCCTGACAAAGAGATGCTCGGAAGCAAAATAATGGCAGTTTTATTTGGGGTGCCAATTCCCTAGCTTCATTGCGCTGTAAACTCTTAAGTAAAAAGATTGTTTCTGCTACGCTACATCATATTTTACTCCAGAACAACTTCCTTTAACCGAGTCATCAACAAAATACCATTGCCTAAGAGTGAATTTTTAAATCATGAATTGGACTGGAATGGAAAAAAATATGAACGCTATTAATTGGGGATGGAAGCTAGAGAGCAATAAGCATGTACCAATAATGACTAATAAACCTGTTGCACCAGAAAGTCTTCTACATATTCTACACTGCAATTGCACTACTGCATGTCAAACAATGCGATGCAGTTGCACAAGATATGGACTACCATGCACGTCTGCATGTAGACTGTGCCAAACTGAAAACTGTGAAAATAAATTCAATGAGCCTGTTTGGGATGAAGAAGTTGACAATGACTACTTGTAAAACATACATGTAAATGTGTTAATGTGTTGTTTTGTAAAAAATAAATTTTTGTTGTAATTTTAAATATTTTTTTGCATTCAGTGGCCCTGAAAACATATAGGTAGACACCAGTATTACTTTTCTAGGGCAAAAATTGCAGGCGTAAGGTAATTTACACCATATTGGACGCCATCTTGAAAATAAAGCGTTTCCGGTGGTCAAACTTTGGTAAACTTATAGTATGTTGATCAGTACACATAATAGTACAGAAAACCGCAGAAATACCTCTTGTAGGAATTTTTTTAGGGTAAAACTATAATTTCCGTCGTCTATAACTTTATTATTTCAAGACCCTTAAAAAGTAGTAAACACATTAATTTTTCTATTTCTGAAGTTCAGCTGGCAATCAAACAGTGGAAATAAAAATACCCCCGCGGCAGCAAACCTGCCGACTAAGCAAATTTCAATTTGTCAGATTTTCAATTAAATCTATTTAAATAGCATTAGGTTTAACGAGTACCCAGGTTTGCAGCTACAAGGCAACTAATAAAGTGTGTTTTTTTTGTAAAATATTAATAGCTTAGTATAAGATAAATAAATTTGCCAAGTTTGATCAAAATATATACATAAACAAGCAAACTACAACATTTTACAATATTCCCCATATGAATGACATGGGTTTGAGAAGAAATGTTTTTACAATGTTAAAAATTAACTGAACTAACTTGTGTACAAATTACCAGCGATCAGTTATCGTTATCTGTCATTGCGTTTGCACAGAAGTTTAAACACATGTTTACAACAATCAAAATAATACTACTTTTTGTTGACAATAGGCTAGTACCATATTGACTATATAACACTAGTCTATATAACACTAGTATTATATAGTCAATGCTGACAATGCTACTAAAAAACGTACGATGTTGTTAACCGTTTTCCAGGGTATAAAACACGAATTTGATATTCCACAAGAAGTTGACAATGATATAAAATTATTGTACAAATTTGTGTCAACTCCTTTTGGATTTGTTCCTTGCACCCAGAAAAACATAGCCTATTTGACTATTTTTCACGGATTGAAAGTGCTGACTCATCTATCTATCCGTATATGATTCTTCATATCTTGCTCGTTTATACTGGAGTTTACTACAGAACGATTTAGACTTTTGTTGATTGATACCAGCTGTTGTCAGAAACATTTTTTAACATTTTGCTGTAATATCCTGTGTAAACGTGATTGTAAAATAACAATACGTTGCAATAAAAAATGTTAAGTTGCATTTGTTTACATTGAAACAACAGAGAGAATATTATGTGTTAACCTCGGACGATATAGGGCCTACTTTATATTAAAATTATTTTCCCATTTGAATTGCACGACAAAGATTGCTGCTTTATTAAACAATACAATTGAATATAATACTAGTGGTCGTCAAGTGGTCGAAAACTCGACCAAAAATATGTAATGTACAGGCTTCTCTATTTTCACCCCACGCTGTTAATAAAACATGTGATTGTAATTTCTTCCATTTGTTTTAATTTTCTGTTTATATTTCGTTACTATTTCGTCGCCAGCCTAGCAACCCACAAGGCCCATTGTTAATTTTTTTAATTTTTGAATTAATTTTTTGTGTATTTTTTAGACTGTTTAGTTCATAAAGGAATTCTGCAAATCTACAGAAAAATATCTTTCTAACAAAATGCGTAGATTTTCCCTGCGATTCCATTCATTTGACCATTGGAATATTTACAGTTACGCCTTTTCGAAACGCTAACAGAGGTTTTTCAACTGGTTCAAATTATCTTGAATGTCAAAAACTAGGTCGAGTCAGTAACAGCCTAAGTAACACGTCAGATTAAACGTTATTATATTTTTAAAGAATTCACTTGAAACAACTGGAATACAGTGCATTGAATGCCGAAGAGTCAGGTGATGGTCTTCAGCCAATCAGAGTAGTGTCCTTATCAGTTAGCAGGCTCCTGCCCGTTATCACTGCATGAGGAAGGACTACGTAGTCTATGTGGTGATTACAATCGATTGGATTCCTACTTAGTCAACGTTAATTTTATCGGTAGTGTAGTGGTTATGAAAACACTTCTATCTTCTTTTGCGAGTATTTAATTTAAACTTCCAAACAATATAAAGTTTATCCTACAAACTATTAAATAACAATTTTACATTAAAACAAAGTTTGAACCACACACAACCGAATTGAACTTTCGCATTAGTACTCGTTACACTTTCGATTACTCGTTGTTCAACCGATTCGTCTGGCCCAGGACGATAGCGATAGCAGTGGACGAGGAAGGATGAGGCCGGAAGGTAAAGCCATGGACTCCATGTCAGAGGTGTCCGAGGGGACGACCGGGACCAGTGTCTCGGGAAGAGGGACATGCTACAGCGAGGAACTCCAGGACTTCGCCCTCCAGCTGGGTATGACCGGCGCCGACCAACTTTTCCAGGAAAGGTTTCGCGTGGACAGGCGTAAACTGGAAGTGATGCTCAGAGGTTGGTGGAGATTTCCAGATTTAGTAAAATCCACTTTTATATTAAAACCCAGTGGTTTATTTTGTTAGAAAACTGGCAACTGCTAACATAAACATTAGCATAAACACAATAGTTAAAAGCTTATTAAATAAATTAACCCCGATTATCATCATTATTTAACTCCAAGTCACATGGTAAAATTCGCTACAAAAGAGAAAATTGTACAATTACCTTTCTTTCAACGTTTTAAAAATAGCGTTTTAAAAATTTATCCCATCGGACAGTAAATTATCCTAACTAACTCGAGGTTTAAAAGTTGAATTTTGTACTTCAAGTGGTTCTACTTCAAAAATGCTTATTAGTTAGGTCCTTTATTTCAAGTTCGAATTTATATTGATTGTACATTTACATTAGTTTCGATTGTTTTAAATTGAAACAGATGACGAAACTGTAACAAATGATTGTTTGTTTATTTCGGAAAAAACCAAAAAGATATTCAATATTCTTTTTTCCTACAGTTACCTAATAAAGTGGGCTTCCTTGCACTTATTATAGCATGCCATGCACTGTAGCTAATTGATGCATTTACTTACTTTTGCCGCCCTTATTTATTTTTTGCCGCACTCCAGTATTTCATCCAAACTACACAAAACAGTGTGCTGTTATTAGGCACGTAATACGTGTACACAGGAAAATGAGTTGGCAACACTTAAAGATACTACGACTGGTGCAGCATTTCTCATTTTTCCAACGCTTGGATTTATAATCTAACCTAAAAACGTATTGTACAGTATTTGAAAGACTATATTTATAAGCCTTATAGTGATAACTGTACAAAAAATATAATGTGTAATGCGAGTGGAAAATTGCCTTTGCTGCGCTCGATAAACTTTCCACAATCGCACACTAGTTACACAAATAACTATTTACGTGGTAAACAATCTAAGCATACATTTTCACAGGTAATCCATGTATAAATCCCAAAGTATACCCATGAGCTTTTGAGAAAACTACAAGTCACACCCCCATAAACTATAAACTTAAAATTAATGTTCGTTATAACGAGAAACCTTGCGCAAAAATATCCATTATTTCATAAATTGCCCTTTAAGGTCGTAATTCCTTTCTAAAGGGAACTTTCTATATACCTAATGTTAAAAATAAACATAAAAACATGTATAAATATATAAAATAAAAATAGTTGTGGCTATACTTAATTGTATGTTAGTCTTTCAATTTATTACCTTATTAAAATCAATTGTGATTATGTGTTTGTATTGCTGTATTCTGTTTTGTTTATTTCAACTTAACTTAACCAATCAATGGATTTATTAATACTTATGAAGTCGATCGGGGTTAAGCCCGTGGGTAACAGCTAGTAATTATAAAACGAAAACAGGTGATTTCACAGAACACATTTGGAGTCTTATTTGCAATACACTCCTAATAACACTAAACCTCAGCTATGCAACAATGCATTTCAGCTGATCGGCAATGAAGTAAAGAAAATACTAACATACACTTGTTCTGTCGTTAAAATGTGTATCCCGGTCCTGAATTTGGGTTGCGTAAAAAACACTTTCGTAGATCATTTTTTTCAAATTCATTCATTTGAGCGAATTTCCCATATAGGGAATAAGCTATTACCGTAGGTCTTATAAGACCTTAGACCCGGGACCGATTTACTATTTCATTTTGAGGTCCCCAGAGGCCAAAAACACCATCCGTTCAAATGCATATATATATGTCCGTTAGCGCGATAACTCGAGCAAAAATGATCTGATTATGATAAAATTTGGTACAAACGTGTAAACCTACGTTTATTCGAACGAGTTAATATTTGACAACAGCTAATTTGAAACCAAAAGGTGAGTGAGCGTAGCGAATGAACTTCAACTTGGAGGCGAGGTAGCGTAGCGAACGAGCTAACCTGAAGGCAAGTGAGCGCAGCGAACGAGCTCCAACCGTAAAGGTGAGTGAGCGTAGCGAACGAACTTCAACCAGGACGTGATTGAGCCATGCGAACGAGCTCACATATGAAGTTAAACGGGGCAAACCCCGCGGGTACAGCTAGTATTACAGTAAATAAGCACACCTCAATATCTTCCCCGTAGCAGCAAACCTAACTACTCACTAAAATGAATGTTATTTAAATAGGAAATAAATTTGACAATATTTAGGGAATATTTTAGTAGAAATCAAGCCGGGCAAATGGAAATTCGCGTAGTCTGCAGGTTTGCTGCGACGGGGGTATTAACCTATACTTTTAACATTTTATAAAACAAAAACTTTCTTCCCGTAGCAGTAAACCTAAGAACTCGTTGAATCTAATGATATTTAGGTTGGGTAATATGACTTGTTTATGGAAATATCTTGTTTTTGTTTTGCACATGACACATGTTATGCAATGCATGTATTGACAAACAGTGGTAACGATTTTTATTACTTAAACTAGCAGTTACCCGGCGTGCGTTGCTGCGCAAAAAACTATTATTTTAAATTATTGTAATTTATTCCTTACGATAAATAGTATCTATATAATTAATTCGCTACATGAAACTTTGTCGGTTGAACTCCTCCGCCATTTCTTAACCGATTTTATCCATTGACGTCTCATTGGAAAGAGCGTGTCGCGTAGATTTGCAAACTGGCCTTACATTTTTGAAAAAGTCCCTTGGGCTCTGCCCCAGTGGCTTTGAAAGTTCCCATGTTATCCTTATGAAGAACATAATTGTTTACATTTTGATCAGCTGTATAATTTAACTGCTGTTATTTATTTTTCAATTCAATGAAACACATTGAGTACGTTTATTTACTATTTGAGTTTGTTTAAACATAACCCCCAAGACGGATCGTATTAGTATGGTTGTATCTTAAATTTGTGTATTTATCGTTGTTTTGTGTCGCTATGACGGATCGTGTTAGTATGATTGTAACTTAAATTTGTGCATTTATCGTTGTTTTGTGTAGCTATAATTTGTTTATTTTTTTTCTTCTTTTAAATGCCTCCGACGCCACGACAACGAAACATAGACAGGAGGCGTAATCGTGATAACGAAGCGGCTACAGAACAGTGGCGCGTAATAGGTTTAACTCATCACAGTCAGCACCTGACCCTGGACAATCTCAACTATTGGTTACAAATGCACCCTAACACTACCCCAAAATGACTTTTCGTTCTCAATTGGCCCTCTATCAATGACCTGTGTTGCCTGTACAGCGAGGTATTTTGAGAAGGAGAAAACCGGCCGGAATGATTTAGGTTTATCAATAACGAAGATAAACACGGTCTGAGTTACACACCGGTAATCTTGAGTTGACTCTTTTAATTTAATTGTAAATATGACAGTTGTTCGTTTTAAAATAAATCCTGTAAAACTTTGCAATTGCTCGAATTGTACAACATGTACACTAGTTAGTATTATTGGAGTTCCTTCTTTTAATGACAGTAATGTGGTGGTTTAATGACAAATTGGGGGGCATTTTAATACCTGAGATAGCACGCACGATTATTATTCACTTAATAATTTATGTTAGATTGTGTGGGTATGGAAGTCTTTTGAAGCTGAACGGTGTTAAATAAAACTCCTTATTCACACACTATCAAACATCTATAATATTAAAACGAAAGAGTGTTTTTTTATTTCACGATTCTGAATCAACCACTCGGCGGATTTTCATGATTTTTGTGTTGAAAGAAAGATAATTTTGAGAACTAGGGAATGTCGAAGCCATAATTTTAGTTTAGTGTCCCAGTTTTTTAGAAATTAAGTTTTAATTTTTTAAAAGTCTAGCAGCCGACGCTAAGATTCTAAACTAGCTTTAGGCATAAAATAATTTGCTTAACATAACAGCTGTAAACATTCAGCTTTTGTGTCACAAATTCAGCATTTGGATAAAAATGTAAAGACATACTCAGGGTTGACTTATTTATACTATGTGTAATGCAAATTATTGATACGTTCAATTCTTCTGTAAGAGGATGACAGATTAATTTAATTATACATAGTAAAATACTAGGATGTTCAAATTATTTTTTTAAAGCAATCTTTGATATCTTCGATTTGCTTTAGAGCAATATAATTTGTTTTAACTAACAGCTGGTTAAATATAAACTATGGAACTATGAGGTTATTTTATTTACTCTTATTTTGTCATTGATTATAGGAAATAAGTAAGATTAGTAGAGATAATTAGACCACAGTTTAAAATAGTTTAGACCAAAATTAATTAAACCACAGTACAAATCGAGGCTCTGTACTGTACACGAGTCTTAATAAAAAAGGATAAATGCAAATTATTTTACTATTCCACTTTTCGAGGAAAGAATAGAAAAATTACAATGTTTACTCGTTTTAATTCTTCATGGTAGCTTTTTGTTTACAATCAATGTTTGTCTGCTTTAACTTTGTTTGGATTAGGCCCGGAAATATTGATGTCATAAAAAGAAGATCAAGAATAATCAGGAATCACGATTTTAAATTACCACCACAACCTCAGCCGAGTTTTATACAAAGATTGAACACAACGTGAACATTGACCTAGGATACTGCAATTAGACAAACCACCCTTTTATGAAATCGTGTTCAGTGTGGTTACGTTTGGGAGTGCCTATCAGCGCCCCCAAACGTGAAAATATCACTTTTATTTCAACTATGAATATATTGTAGTTTAAATTAACTAATACGGGAAATTACGATGCACACTTATTCAATGAGGGTGGGTAATTATTAAGGATAGAACTGATAACGGGATGGATAATAAACATTGACAATTACGTCATTAGCTTTACTAGCGTGTTTACTTTTTATATTCCTGCTACATGTGACCAGTTCTTTTAGTAATGAGTTCTTTTTTTTTCAAATGAATGTTATTTGAACCAAACAGCTGTTTCAAAACAAACTGTTATTGTTTTTACTTTTCTTTGTTTACACTTATTTATTTAGCAATTAATGCAGTGAAATTGATATAAAGGATAGGTGTGACGATTTATGTGTACTGTGAATTTTATTGGATATTAT